TAATAATAATAATAATAATAATAATAATAATAATAATAATAATAATGATCTTACAAGTTATAACGCGCAGGAGTTCCCTCCCGCATATTATACCAATGTCTAATTATCATCGGATAATGCGTATCGGTGGCATGGTGTGTTGTGGTATGGTGTACTATGGTTTAGTGTGGTATGATGCGTGGTTAAGGCCATGAGCTACCTACCTACCTACCGAGCTAACTACACTTGCACGCTGTGTGATCACGATCCTATATTTATCTATCTATCTATCTATCTATGTATCTATCTATCTATCTATCTATCTATCTCTTTCACACACATAGTGGAGGTGATCGTTCCTTGTAATTCGATCTCCAATTCAACAACGTTATCCCATAATACCGACCTATCACGCAATATACAACATTGCTTAAGTATAACACGGTTCAATTATATTCTTCCGACATTTGAAAGATTTCTTTGTTTTTCTTTCTTTTCTTTTTTCTTTTTTTCTATTCTCGTAATAATAATCATTTGTGTTACGTCGTAGATTTTTTTTTTACGATTTATTTATTTATCAATCTTTTTTAGAATATTATAATACTTTGGCTGATTCATTTTCAATTTTATTAGAATAGTGATGGAATTTATAATTTGTGTGTTATAAGAAAAATATTCTTATTTTTTTTTCATATATATATATTATATGTATATATGACAAATTAAGAATACAAAATATATTTTGTCGTTTAGAGATGATAGATAAAAATTGTATATATTTACCCATGGTTTTGGGTTTTATCGTCGTTGAAAAATATTATACCAATTTAATTAAAGAAATTTGTATTTCGAAAAAGAATTATAATGGGTAATTTATTTGTGAATGAAAAAATAATGTTTCATAGGAGTAGATGAATAAATGTGTAAAATATCTCACGTTTAATAGATAAAACCAACTTGTGATATTTATCTATAAATTATTATTTTACGAGGCTTATACGGTTATATCTAAAATCTATTATTTGAATTTTAGTCGACGACACACAAACACACACACACACACCATACACACGATTTGTGCTTTTCGTAACGAAAACATAATTCGATAACAACGGCTATAAAATTAAGTGCCGTTATGTCAGAAAGATAGATAGAAAGATAGAATTATCCATTCATATATAAACGTGCACAGTTATTCACGTTAAACTTGTATATATATATTGATCCGAGATAAAAGTTTTCTTCGTATTATTTAGTAGACAATAATGCAAAAAAATTAAACAATACTCAAGAGAAAATTTTGCAAATCTATTTAAAACATATAAGTATGAGAAACAAAATAAGAAAATATTAATTCAAGTAATCATACGCTCGCGAGATACAAGAATTTAATTATATTATATTCAAAATAGGGCTTAATTATATTATAATATTAATTATTGTAATATCTTCTTGCGTTAAATGATACTATTACAATAAATAAATCATTCTATACTTAATTATTTCGTGATATAATACTCATTAATTATAAGCATGCTTAATTATAACGTATACTATAATGTATTACATAGTAATTCAAAGATATTATACATCAAATTAATCGTACTACGCAATGGGGTATCATTATAATAAATTAGGCCATTATATATTTATGTATGTGTGTGGTATAAATCGTTTTATTGTACGATTGTATAAATTTACGTTTTTTTCATAGTAATTTTGTTCTCCTTTTCTTTTTTAACTCTTTCTCTTTATAAGAACAAGGTGTTGGGGCGGGGGTGGGGGTGGGAGGGTGGAGGCAGGTTACAGGCGTGCATCGCATTAGATTATCTTAGAACGTTGGTATTTCTTTCGAAGACGTCATATTTCTCTCTAGCGTACGTCATATCGAATTTATCTTCCTCATTCTCGTATAAAATTACCGTGTTAATGGAAGCGAAAAGACAACGTTAGTAGTATTACTTTACCTCTATTTTTCTTTTCCATTCTACCCCCCCCTCCCCCCTTTTATTTTTATTTTTCACTATTTTTTTGTTTGTTTTGTTTTATCTTATTTTATTGTCAACTAGTCGTAGTAGATCTTTGACGAATTAAAATGCAATTTTTTTTGTTCAATCTTGTCTTACAAATTATCTTCATCTTTTTATTACATGGTTTCTTATATATATATTTATATTTTTTGTTTTCTTATTAATAGAAGAAAATACCAAACAATTCTTTAGGAGTATTATATAAATAATTTTTGTTAACGTGATGATACACATTACAATGATAAAGTGTATTATTTCTACACGTATCTGTGTAGTTAACTTTGTCTATTCAATCGTATTCTAGTCTTCCGTTTTCTATTATTGGAGAAATTCGAGCCTCTTGTGTCTAGATTTGGATCTCAGACAAACTTGAGCATTAGAACGACAACGACAACGACGACGACGACGACGACGACGAAGGGGGTACGTGTTTCAAGTCTCGTGTCTCGAGGACTTTCCCACTCGAAGGTTCCATTGCAACGACAGGACCTTGGTTTCAACGTAAATCGATATCTTTTTCCTACCTCCTGGTACTATCGAATAAATTTCATACAATCAAATATTGTTTTCACCTATTTAATGTAAACACAATTTTCAGTTTAATTAAATTATTTTTCCAAATAATACATAAACAATTTTATATTATTAATTTTTATTGAAATTATGATAAAATGTTTTCTTTTTTTTTTTGTTTATTATTTTCGTAAAAATATTTATTACGAATTAGGAATCATTATAAGTCGTTCCATTAGATGCACGTGGCTGCACACAACGAATTAGAATATTTTGATTTTCAATATAAATATATTTGAAGATGCCAAGGGGCCAATATACATAATGCAAACAAAATTATGCTAATGTTAGTTTCTCCGTCATTTACATTTTAATATTTACTCGATAGCCAAATATATATACCTATATATAATATATATATATTTTCTTAAAAATATCACAGATATCGTCGTTATCGTTTCATAAAAATAATAATGACTCTTTATTTGGTACAAAATTTAAAAGATAATTAAAAATAAAAGAAAATAAAATAAATAAATAAATAAGCATAGTTTTAATCACATTAATAAACGATCTAAACGTGAGAATAAATAAGAACGAATGAAATAATAATTAAAGAAGAAGATAAAAAAATAGGGGAAAATAAATAAATAAAGAAATAAATAAATAAATAAAAGGATAAATTTTTCCAGAGAAGATACGAAGACGTTCCTTCCTCGTTACGAATCGCATTCGTCTTTTCGAATCGTTCGTGCGAGGCCCATCCAATTCTTTCAGGGTGAAACCTCATGCTCTGAACCTGTCGGATCGTATTCTCGTACACTCGGGATTATTCTTTTATAGGAAGAAACGCGCACACGAAGTATACATAGTATTCCCTTCCTTTCCCTTCCTCTCTCCTTCACCCCTCTTCCATCTTATTCTTTCTTTTTCTTTCTCTAGGCACACATAGTATGGGAAACGTGCTTAGAGAAAAGTTCTTCTTTGATTTACATCGACTTACATGGAATTTATATCCGACTTGTGTAACATCACTTGAAATTTTCCAATTTACTGTTCGACTATCTTCTTTCTTTTATTTTATTTTATTTTTTTTCTTATCGATATTATAGTAATAATAATAATAATAATAATAATAAATAGATTTATGTATCCAGAAATATAATTAGGAATATATTAATTCGTAGTCGCGATTGTGTGTTGGAAATAAATTCTATAATAAATGGAAATAAAAATTTGAATAAAAACCGTGTCATCAAAAAATAGAAATAATAATAATAATTTACAGAGGAACGAGAGAACACGAGATTTTATTTTCAATCTTATTGATATAATATCATTAAGTTATAATATCATTCATTTATTTTTATTCGTTCAAACTCATTATTATAATAATCGACGATTAATATCAATTATATAAATTGACAATAATTCTATTTTCGTTATTCGAATAAATCTCGAGAGAAAGTAAAGAAAAGAAAATAAAAGAAAATCAAAGAAAATCAAACAACAAATTGGTGAACGTATAAATTGTGTAATTTACAACGATTTAATTTTTTCCTTTCACTAACTCCTTTTCTTTCTTTCTTATATACTTAGAATCATCTACGGACTTTTGGTTAAATCAAAGCATCCTTCTAAAATGCAATTAAATCACGAAGTAATTAGCTAGATTGCAGTGGTCGACCAAGATGTCCTAGCCACTAGGCACTTTAAAAGACAATCACGGTTTCTCTGTCGCCTTGGTTAAGACACGCTCTGGGGATTAGTAATAAAGAAAGAGCAAAACCAAAAGAAAGAGAAAGAAAGAAAGAAGATGTGCATTTCGATATCGCAAAATTTTCATCCTTAGCACGTTTCAACGATTTTCTCAAAACGACATTTTCTTTTTTTTTTTTTCCCCCACCTAAAATTGACGATCAGTATGCGACACTGAAGATCAAAAGAAAATGTATACTATTTAAAACCTATTTATTCGCTTTCTCTATCCATTCAATGCTCTGCTTTTCTCTAACAAAAGAAATAAAAAGAATAAGAATTAGTGGAAGAGAAGAGGAAACGGATGATCATCGTGCAGGGGGGTAGGTGGAAGGGTGGTGGAAGGTTAAAGAGAAATTTAAATTGTTCTCGTAACCCTTTGTGTCAAAAGATTATAATGATGATAAATTCATTTCACTTTTTATTTATTCATTGCATACAGTGTGTTTTTAAAAAATCATGGATTCGAAAGAATTCTTTTATTTAACGAATCCTTTTCTTCTTTTTCTTTTTTGATACTCACATTCGTTTCGTCATAAAAAAGAAATTTAATAATTTAATGGATAAAATTCTCTTTGCCAATGCTGACGTTTCTTTCTTTCTTTTTATATCTTATTTTATTTGAGTCATTGAATGATTATTAAAAAAAAAAGATTAAATCATTTGTTAGCTATTTAACTTAATTGGTTAAATGTGTATTTTTTGTTTTTGTGTCTCTAGGTGAACTGTGTCGTCCACTTAATTGCAAAAAGAAGGAATTATGTTTACTCGAGGATACGTTTACCGCAGTATGTGTATCCAAAAAAGAACTTCATAAGTCTGGGTAAGTTATACATATTACATACACACATTAAAGTATCGAACGAATGATCTAACATATGTAACAATCAATCGTTGCTTATTGTTTCCGCTTTTATGGTACTTAATAGCAATTAAACGTAATGTACAAGATACGTGAATAGAATCTATGATGTTAGATAATATCTCTTGCTTGCTTCTCTCTCTCTATCTTTCTCTTCTATCTTTCTCTTTTGTATATATATGTACGTTCTCAACGAAAGCCACATGACTCGTTTGAAACTCATCTGGAAGTTTCTGAGTTGTGGCTTGCCTCTCCTTCCGACGTCTCGTTAATCGCTAAATTCTATGATAGTTTGCGATCAAATTTTCTACGAGAGAAAGAAAGATAGATAGATAGATAGATAAATAAATAAATAGATAATAGATATAATACTAGATATTAAATGATCTTAATACGTTTCATTTAATTTCAATTGAAATTAGAATCAAACGTTTGTGTCTATAATTTATTTCTTAATAAATATTTTACGAAATAAAATATATTGATGGGCAAAAAAAAGAAAAAAGAAAGAAAAACAATTATCTAAATTTGATTCATCGAATTTTCAATGGGCAAAATAAAATCTTACGTTGGACGTAAGAAAACAAAAATTGTGTTGATTAAATAGAGACGTGTGATATTTTCTGTTAGATAACTTTTGTCAACGATTATTTGTAATTTCAATGATTATTATGTAAAAATGTGTCTAGGTTTAAACCAATTATAACGCTATACGTCATAGTGGAATTTACTTTATTCAACAAATTAGTACTTGTTACGAAGTTTGGTACATCCTACGTGTTTTCTCTCTCTCTCTCTCTTCATGTAGTAATGTCTGACCACCACCATTCGCGATTTGCATTTGTTGTAAATAATGACGCACGAGTTAATTCTACTATGAACTATTATTATCACTATGAATGTGTAGGAAATGCTACGAAACAAATTAACATTACTCGAATAAACAAGAATCGTGTTAAACATTATTTCATTTTAATATCTAATATTTTCTTTCTTGAGTGTCCCTGCAATTTTATATTTTAAAAAATATATTTTGTATTATATATTATAGCTTATATATCTTATTATATATATTATGTATAATTTAAAAATATATTATATATTAAAAAATATATATGTATATAATATAAAAATGTGCGCAAAATTTATCAGGAAATGTAGTTTAACTCGTTTAAGTTTCTTTTTTGGGGTATACCACTTTTTGATATACGTTTGAAATGTAAAATAAATCGCGTATATATGAATGAATGAATGAATGAATGAATGAATGAATGAATGCATGTAGGTATTACTTACATAATACTCTACTTCGTAGAAAATAGTAAATGCTTTTAAAAAGTTCTGTAACGATCCCTGTCTTCCTTTTTTTATATCTTTTTATTTTTTTCTATTTCTTCTTCTTTTCAATAAAAATGCTCGTGGTGGTGGTTGGTGGAGATCTCTCGAAGGAAACGATAAATGATCAATCATTTTTATTCTCCCCCTTTTGAATTTTTTATCTCTTTGAATAACCTTTTTTTTCATTTATTTGTTTTGTTTTTTTTTTCTTTTTCCTTTTTTCAGAAACATAGAATATGGAAAATATTTCTTCCACCTTTATTTATGATCAATAAAAATGATGATGTGATTTTATTAAAATAAATTATTATTATTATTATTATTATTATCCTCGGTGGTTTTTATATATACAAATGTTTTTCGTAAACACTTTCGAGAGAAAATAAAATGTTATTGTATTTATTTTATTTATTCGTATATTAATATTGGACACACCTATATATATATTTGTAATATTATTTTACACATTCATTTATTGATTTTTTCATTTCTTTTAATTCCGTCACGTTCGTGTCACGAGGTTGTGTTACGTAAGTGTAACTCGTTAAGAAACGATTTTTATTGGATTAAGGAAGCACTTGAGTGTCTTGTAAGCGTAGAAAACACGTTCCAGTTTTCTTGATCCTCTTTCTTTTAGTTTCTTTTCTTTTTTTTCCTCCCCCCCCCCTGCTCACCACCCTCCCACCTTCCTATGTAACACGTGCGAATAATTCGTCTCGTCGATTGTATGAAATCTCAACGAAAAATGGAAAGAAAAATAATGGAATTAAATGAAATCGTTTATAGAATTAGGGGTGGGAGGGGGTAGGCGGGAATGTATTTATTGGATTATATTTGTAATCATTATTTGTATAATTAATGTTTACAGGGACATTGTAATACCAAAATCTTTGGCTGTTCAGCAACGACGAATGAGAGCGGACAGTTCAGCTGATACACAGGACGACGATGCCTTTTTCGATTCAGAGGACGATGATGAGGATCAGGACGAGTCTAAGTAAGTAACTAAGTAAAGCTTTGTTCTAATCGGATCAACGCCTGTAACAACTATGGCCGGTTCTAACTCTTGCGGTAAATCGTACTTTAAGTACTTCGTGTTTTCTCTACTAAATTCATTCAAGTTTTTTTGTCTATTTTATTATATTATTCTTTTTGGTTCCTTTTTAACGAAAGATTATTTCGTAGTATTTGTTAAATTGAAGAAGAAGAAGAAGAAAAAGAAATAGGAAAACAAAAAAAAAGATACATTAAAAAATATTATTTATTTATTCTTTTTTTTTAATTTAGAAAAATATTATAATTTTGTTTTTGTGTCAATATATATGGATCGTTTATTTTGAAAATTGTGTGTCCATTTTCTGTTGTTTCGAGAAAATTAAAGGTTTGCATATTAGTTAATATTTACAAATTTACATTAAATTAAACACGAATTACGTGATATCTCATTTTTTTTTCAAAATGAACGGTCCATATATTTACAATTAATAATAACCACTATAATATTCTGGTAATTGAGTGTACAATAATTTTGTTGTCTCTCTTTCTTTTTTTTCTTCTTCTCACTTTGTTCTGTCTTCCTTTCTTTTTTTTTCTTTTTTTTTTTTTTTTTCAGAAAAACAAGGATACCCGCGTTTCAAATAATTTCCAATGTTGCGTCTTTCTATTTCGAATTTTATAAATCGCTCATAATAGCAATAATAAAATACTTTTAAAGATGTTTCCAACACGAGGAACTATATTAGTGTAATAATTATAATAATAATAATAATAATAATAATAATCTTTAAAACACATAATTGTGAGAAAACGATGCGGTTTAGTGAGAAATAGTACAATATATGAGGGAACAATTGTGAGAATTTAGTTTTCAAGACAATATTCCTTAGTACTACCACCTTCTCTCCTTTCTTTTCTTTTTTTCCTTTTGTTTTTTTTTTTTCTTTTTCTTTTTCTTTTTTTTCGTCGTGGCAACAAAATGAAGGTGTATTATTCGCTTGGCGACGGATAACGCCAAACACGGAAATTAGGATCTTTTGGCGTGTACGAAAAAAAAAAGAAAAAAAAAATAAGAAATGTGGTAGAAAGAACTCGAATAAGTATTTCCATTTAGAAATAAAATTTCTCGGAGAGAGAGAGAGAATGCGCGTTGTTCTATCTTTTTAAAAAGAAAGAAAAAAAGAAATAAACGAAAGAGGGGAAAAAAGAAAGGAAGGAAGGAAGGAAGGAAGGAAGGAAGACAACAAATGAGATGATTGTATGGGGAAAGAGAGAAAGAGGGGGGAGGGGGTTACCAACGAAACATTTTCTTCTTACGTAAATTTACACGAACTAGAAGAGCATACAGAGTGGGAAAAAGAATTTTTCTTTTTCCTCGTCGACTTCCTCCTTCTCACCCACCCCCTTTCACCCTACCTATCCCCCTCGTCTTCTTCTTACTTCGTTTCAAGACGTTAAGGGGTTTTATTTTTAATTTTTTTTTTCCGTGCGAGAGAAAGAAAAAAAAAGAACTTAATGATACGCGCGAAGCCAGGAGATAATTAATTTATTCGAATAAAGATAAAACGAAAAATATCAATTGAATTATAAAACAAATGAATTGTTACAATTGCGCACGCGTGTTTTTTTTAAAATTTTTTTTTTTTTCATTAATATTTAGTAATAAAATATAATTATTATAAAGAAGAATATATGTGTAAAAGAGATCACACAAATAAAAATTCTACAATTGGTTGATTATATATTCGTTTTTTATTTAAATCAAAAAAAGTAAGAAAAATAAAACACACAATAAGGGGACGATACTTAAATCATCATCATCACATCATCATCAATGTTATCGCAAAAAAAAAAAAAACAAAAACCGGATATATTTGTCTTGAAAAGTAAAAGAATGGTTTTGTTTTTTCTCCCTCTCTTTTTTTTCTTTTTTTTTTTTTAGTCATGGTAAGTAAAAAACGTATATAATATGTTTCTCTAGAGTTTCTCGAACTATTCGAAACGTCAGAACCGGAAGTCGTCTTCACGAGAACGTTTCTGGTCACGGGGAAAAGGGAATGTAGTGTAGGTCGTAGGGAATACCACTAGCAAGTAGAGAAATACAGAAGGATCGTTAACGAGGCGTGGCTTTTCATCCACACCCTTAATGACCCTTTATGCGCTTCCATAGGACTTTCTAGCTTTCACACTTCCTTTTAAGATCATGGATAGACTTCTTCCTTTCTCAGTGTTGTGTTAGTAACACAAGTAAGTTCACCAACTCTTTACTTTTTTTTCTTTTTCCTTTTTCTTTTTTTTTTTACACCGATAGAATCTTTGCCAGAAAAACTTACATGATTTTTCCTCTTTCTTCTTCTTCTTTTTCTTCTTTCACGAAAATAAATGAAAAAGATCTATGTTTTAAACATGGCTTTTTTATTAATTATATAATTCTTTTTTCATTCATACTGGATATTAATGTTTTATATATAATTGTTTTTATATAAATTTATAATATAAAGAATATACCTTATATATAGTATTTCATTTTACTTATTTTCATTGCTTATTTCCTTTTTTTTTTCAACACCAACGTTATTCACCCTATTATTATTATATAATATTATAAATCTCTAAAACAATGTTTAATTTAATATAAAAATTCTAAATACTTTCATTTATTTTCATTACTTATTTCCCCTTTTTTATCAACACCAATGTTATTCACCCTATTATTATTAAATATTATTATATAATATTACAAATCTCTAAAACATTGTTTAATTTGAAATAAAAATTCTAAATACGTTAACGGGGGAGGTATTCGAATCTAATAAAACATTATTTTACGTAACGTAAGAGAAATAAAGTTTTAAGATCATTTCTCACGACATATATATATATATATTTCAAACGAATGGCAGGAGGGATAGGGGAGAGGGGAGTGAGTATGGAAAGTCTTCTTCTAATGCCAAAGTAAAAGATAAACGAGCTATAGGTATGTAACTTCTCGTTGGTAAGAAATGGACAGAGACAGATATATAGAATCAAGAAAGATAGAGAGAGAGAAGGAGAAGGAGAAGGAAGAAAGGTGGGATGCAGGATGCTGGAAACTGGACGATAGAGAGAAAGCAACTATTTATGATTCTCTGAGTACGAAGAGACCTCCCATAAGCCGTTGCTGATAGCTGTTATATGTATGTGAAGGTCTAAAGGACTGCTGACCGGATAGGGACAACTCTGAGAAACGTCTGGGGATAGGAGGAAAATATCTCCCTAGGAACGAGACCGAACTATATAGTAATATAATAGTAGTAGTAGTAGTAGTGCTGATGGTAGTAGTAGTAGTAGTATTGAATACCATGCAAATGGAACACCATATATTGGGTCGGGGAAATAGTTTCTTCGTAATTTTTTTCTTTCTATATAAGTACTTAAATTTCAAATAAATCAAATGAAAAACACCTACAACGTTAATATATATATACGATATTTAATATTATATTTTATAGAAAAAAATACTTGTTCTCGAAGGAGAATTTTTTATATCGCGTTAAATTAATCCTGTTAATTTATTAATATTCGTTCGATTAATATACCTTTGTCTCCTTTTTTTTTTTTGAAATTATTTATATAACGCGTTAGTTTGTGCTAAAAATATTGGGTGATACGATTTAATAATTCAATTAAATTGATAATAGGATTATTATTTGTAAGGAAAAAAATAATAATAATACGAAGAAACTTAGTCCCCGACCCAATATATATTTCTTGGTCGTTTCGATCGGGGAAACTCCTACTCTCTCATGTATAATTCAAGGTTTGCCCAACGGCTACACCCTCGATATATGCTTTACCATTCGGATAGGATGCAACCCTTCTCGCGAATCGCTTCCTGAAGGGCTAAATAGAAAGAGAGAGAGAGATAGATAGATAGATAGATAGATAGAAGGAACCATCATCTTTTTCTATTATCCTTTTGTTTACTTTATCTGCGAATTTCTTTATCCTTTTTTTTTTTTCTTTTCTTTTGTGTGTTTTGTCTATCGAAAATATTTTTCTTCCCGTTATGTGTTATCCTCTAACGTGGTTGATATTCTTATTTTGGGTTATTAGTTTTTTTTTGTGAGGCTAAATATCGCGACGGGAAAGTGTCGTTTGCGTTTGAAATTATTATATAATTAATTTTTGTTATGTTTAATATTAATTCTATGATAAATGATAAAATATGATACTTCTTAATTTGTTCCTTTTTTTTCTTTCCTTTTTTTTTAATTCTCAGCCTTTTTCTCGTTCGTATTCGTTATACGAAATTCGCGTAAAGCAACGAATCGTGCAAATTTTCTTACGAAACACGTTGGAAAAAGAGAACTCGTTTTTGAGCGTGTGAGCGTTTGCGTGTGCGCACATTCACAGGGATTAGTATAATAAGTTCTTTGTTCTTACAAAGAAAGAGAAACTTAAAACGAAACGATCTTCTTCTCAAAGTTGGCACTTCACTCGTTTCGAACTTTTAATCAAGTCATTTCCCAGTTGCTAAAAAGTTCAACCGAGTTTACCGGTTAAATTTTGATTTTTAAATCATTCGTTTCGTTCCTAGAGATACATTTATTACAAAATATATATATTCAAATTATAATTATAATATTTTTTATGTTTTTTTTTTTTCTATACATATATAATATAATATAATATAAGACAAACACATATTTAAATCGCAGAATCTTATATATAAATATCCATATCTCGTAAAATAAATGTCGGAGATGCGAAGAAATTTTTTTGCCCTTACTTTTTCTTTTTTTTTTCTTTTTATTTTACTGAAATTATTAAAACTGGTCTTATTATTTTTTTCTCACACACACACACACACACACACTCTCTCTCTCTTTCTCTCGTTTTCTTCTTCTTCTTCTTCTTTATTTTATTTTAAAAACCAACATCAAAGAATGTCAGAATTTAAAAGTGAATTTTCCATCCACACGTTGTGCAAAAATTTACTTTCAGGATGAGGGAAAATAT